TAAATGAATGATGAGGCTAAATTTTCCTTACAAATTAATCTCTTATATTAATTCTTTATTTATTATTTTGTCATCATGTTTCAATCATTACAAATGCACTGTGAACCAGTACTTGATCTAAATAGCCTTTTTGTGATAAAAATGTATTTTGCTATTAAAAGCTGACCTGTCAAAGGTCTCTTTTGTACAACAAATTTATTGAGAAAAACTGTTTCGAACATACTAAGTTGTTTAAAGTAAACTCATACATTAGTTTATTGATTCGAAAATACTCAGCTTTGAATATTCTGTAAATCACAGTAATTTTGGAAATCACGCTATGGAACCAACTCATGTTCATTAAATATGAGGAAATTTACCTTATTTGGCTGCATTTTGATAAACATCGATAAATATTTTTCACCGATGCTTCCAATCTCTTAAAAAAATCCTGACGTACACACAATGCTGTTTTTTGATGTCCTACAGATTTTCCACTTGCAAATGCAAATAAGTGCATTGTTAATTTTACTGCTGTGTTTTGATTACCATAAAGCAAAACTAGACTGCTTACTTAGCCTCTCATAAGCAGCTAAGTATCTTTATTATTAAGGGTTTGTACATACACAAATTTGGCAATCCAGTTTAGTAAATTATCAATAATCAGTGACAAAATTAATGCCAATGCATAAAATAGTAAGTTGTGGAAATACTTTAATGCATGTAATGAAACACAACTTGCATAAATCACTATTTTTTGCAGCCACTGACTTCCGAGGCATCTCAAAACAGCTAAAATTTCGGTCTTCGTTTTCCGCCTTGTGGTCAGTCGGCTCACCTGATACGCTTCCTCTTACCCAGTTTGCTTGTAGAGATCACCATCCGTGCATTCTGCAGTACCCATTTCTGTTTTGTCGATATTGTAAAATGTCGCCGGTGTCTCGGTGGGTTCTGTACGTCATCCAACAGCATGACTCGACCTGAAGCAAATAAGGCAGGATTCAAATCTGGGTTATAATTTACATAATGCACCTGGGCAGGCTTAGCCCTTCCACGTGCTTAATTTACTCTTTCTGTTTTTATGCATTCAGGTAATTACGCGTAACCCAACCTTCCTATGCCCATCTGTGACTCATTAACTGATCAAGTCCCATTCTATGGAGTATTCCGTGAGCGCCCTAACTGAATCTTCATTTGTAGTCGCATTCATTCTTCCTTACACCACTTCATCTCTCCATCTAACCATCTTACTATCCACCTGTTTATGCTTCCGTTCATGCTACGCATCCCTAGTCATTATTTTCATTCGTTCAGCATCTGGAAAAATAAGTACTTGGATAGATTATTAGAAAATAGAAATCACGCAAATTACAGCCCGCGAAAAGTCTTTTGCATGCTCTCATCACATAAAAGGGTTGCGTTTTGCTAAGGAGCACCTCAAGACAAAATAGGTCTACTAAAGGAAAAAAAATGTCTTTTTCCAGAACACATGTCTTTGATCACGTCAACCGTGTTTTTATTTCTTAAGAGAATTCATATCATCAATAAAGCGACTCGTCGTATTTCTACAAGTGCATAGTTCTAATATGACGCTCTTAAAGTGCATAATTTTGCTAATATTTCCTTCTCTCTGACGCAAATGCCTTAATGGTAGATTAATATTTTTTACTATCAAAAATGATAATGTGTTTTAAATAGACAGGAAGCTAAAAATAACAAAAAACGATGTTTTGTAGCTAAATACTTCGGTTTTTGACGGCACCTATAAATTTAAATTGTTTTATTAGATGAAGAACAGAAAGGAAGTGCACGAAAATATGCCATTATAAATAGATTAATCACCTTATTATGTTCAAACCTCCTTTTCCACTTGCTTCCTATCACATTCCCTTGCCTAATTTCCAACTCATTGTGCTGAATCCACGGAACTAGAGATAAAGCTAGTCTTAGCTACTGATATAGAAACTTATCAGTGCTAAAAGAATGGTTTGACGGCATCTCCTTGAATGTGCATGTGGTCACCGATAGCTGCAATCGCACTGAGGTCATATCACGGAACTTTACACCTTACTGCTGCCCCTTTTGGTTAATATGCACTGAAATTGTCTGTCATCGACAAGACTGTTATCAACCCGTCCTTTTATACCCATTCTCATGTTTACCCCGGTCTAGATATTCACTGCAACATGATTTGGTCCATGTTCTATGTGCAAAACTGATTTTTATTCAAGTGGAAAAAATATCTTTGAGAAGCATATTTCCTTGGGATGCAAGCCATAGAATAGTCTCTTTTTGTCAGCTGTTCTAGTAACAACGAAACATAATGCTTGTCTTTTTGCTCAAAGGATGCAAAAATTTGTGCAGAGCTGTAAAATGAGAAAATTTCTTTACTTACATTGTGAAATCAAGCCTTAACGGTTCAAGTCGTTGACTGATCGTCATGACAACCCTTAACAATGATTTCAATTTTAGAATCTTAAAAGAACTGACCCTGTTTCCTATAGCTTTGCCTGTATAATATTCAGGGAGAGTTTTAACACCACCTTAATGGCATCGCAATAATATTTCAGCTTAAAAGTTTAGATGCAGGTCTTTAAAGTGACTAAACATTGTTTGATTTAATACTCGCGGAAATGTGGAACAAAAACTACTTTTTTTCGGAGGTCACTTTAATTAAGTAAATAGTGGTGCATTCCTTTATATACATCTGAAAGCTTAAATAGCCTCGTAAATTCTAAATATGTTCACTCTGCACTGAGGCTAGCAAATCATTGTAAACAAAACTAACGGTAATAAGCCTTCAAAATTGCTCATTTTAGCAGGTTTAGGCGTTGAAAAAAGGATAAGGAGGAAAAATTTTCGCTGAGAATTTGGAGGCAAAATAATGCAACCTAAGTACACTCTTAATTTTTTAACGACAAAAAGTGTATTGTTAAGGTTTATAGGAACCAAATGGAACAGAAGCAAGTGTAATCCAATGATTAGCTGTTTAATTTTCCTTCCTAGTAAAGAGGCCACATAGATGCTTTGCTGCTCTGCTTTTGCCGGCTGGGTTGCAATTCGGACCTCGCTAGTTTTTCTAGCCCCACTAAAATTCTATCACTTATATATTTTGCCCTAGTATGGTGCCTTCTTGTATTTTCAAGTAATATATATGGCGCTCCATAAATGTCTTGTTATATTTAGGAAAAATGGGGGATATGGACATTTGCAAGTGAAGGAGAAGAATAAGTAGATTCGGGTAGGACGTGGACTTGCTACAACCTTTCCCACACATTCCAGTTTAAGTATTGAAAGGCGAAAATGGGGAAATCCTGCTTCCTATTACCCGATGCATAATTCATGCTAACTTTGCCCGTAGTTTGTGTTGATGCCTTGCAAGAATGAAATGTGTTCGATACTTGGCAAGTGCTAATGGTCATGAGATAAAATTTCCTGCCCTGGGGAAACATAAAAATGTGTTGAAACTAATCGCAAACCTTTTTATAAACCTTATCTTGTCAATTTCAGCAAATGCTAATTTAGTTTATTTTGAGGGGCTGTTTGCTTAGTCAGACTAAGTAAAATATGCAATAAACTGCATTATTTCTGTTCCATATTTTAACAAACTTTAGTACCTAGCAACTAATTTTTACCAGTAAATGGGCAATTTTTGACCT